CATGCGCCACAGGGTATGGCAAGAGGCCAGGCCGCAGAGTGACTTTGCTCACACAGGCTGATGAGGAAAATAATGAGACCACCAGTCTCACTTATCTAGCAATGGGCTAGAGTTCATGCAGACTGTTGGACTTGAACCCGGCACATTCAGATTTAGTCATCTCTAAAAGCCACTAGACAGGTTCAGCGTCCATGTCCCTCCCCATCTCTGTTTAAACTTCTCAGGGAAACTCTGTCTACCTACAGCCTCTCCATAGCTATCTCCTATGCCTGTCTCTCACCCTCTCCCCGTGGAATGTTAATCCTGGAAAACAAATGTGGAGCTGTTCTGTAATTTTTGTGAAGCTCAGTTTTAACTCATTCCCAAAATGGAGCCTAATTAAATCCTCTTTGGCAGTATGGCAGCCTCTACACTGGAATTCCTCTCGACCTCTATCTGCTGTGGCAGAGCCACCCTGGGAGAAAAGCTCCACACCGCCTTGGTAGTTTACAATAGACACATGCTTTTTGTGGGGACAGCACTGCTGGCTATGTTCAGGATTAATTGTCCCTGAAGCCACCAGCTCTCTAGGGCTTACCTTCTTTCCAGGATTTTGACTTCTTACACAATCAGGTAACTCAGTTGATCAGCACATCGGCTGCCTACTGCCGAGGTGAAATAAAACATAAAGCAGGCTTGGAGTTGCTGGGTGACTATGACAAGGCGTGGACTCCATGACGGTGGACGTGGGTGGGAGGGAATGCTAGATGGGGATGGCTTCTGTTCACACGGATAAAGGGATGAGTTTCACCACTGTGGGATGTGAGGGAAAATTATATCGGTGTGGGGCACCAGGGCCTAGAATATTCTTACTTTGGTAAGTTTCTTATCAGAGGCATGAATTAGAAATAATTTCTCATATATGATAGATTCTCTTAACTTTCTAAATAAGGTGTTTTGGAACTAATTATTTTTAATTTGATGAAATTTATTGTACCTGTTACTCTTTATTACTGCTTGGTTAGTGTCATATTTAAGAAGATCTTTTCATTAAAGGGCACACAGAGATTTGCAGATTGGTTTCTCCTAAAAATTTCATTATTTGGTCCCTACATTTAAAAATTTGATCCACTTAAATTTAGTGTTTATAAAGAGTATGGATTAGGGGTCCCGTTTCTTTTGCAGGTGAATATCCATTGTCCCAGCATCATTGAATTCTTAGTTGAAAACTGTTCTCCCACTTAGTTACCTTGTAACTTTATTGGTAAGTAATTAACCACAAATGTAAAGATATCTTTCACTGATTTAGACATCTCTCTTTATGCAGAACCACAAACTCTATTCCTATCTCTTTATAGCAAGTTTGGTGTGCTGTGTGTTCCCTTCAATTTTGTTCTGGACATAAACACTGCCTCACAATTCTGTATCATCTATTTCTGGAAAGAAAGAGGCAACTAGAGTTTGAAGGGTTTGCACAGACGAATTAAGTCAATAGATTGACTGAGTCAAGTGTTTTGCTATTTGTTTGTTTTATGGTACCGGGAATGAAACTCAGGACCTTGTGCTTGCCAGGCAGGCGCTGTGCCACTGGGCTTTATCCAGGGTCTCAAGGGGGAAGTGATTCTAAGTGAACAATAGGAGGGCTTTTGCTGGGAGATTCCATTCTCATCACTAATCTGTTTTAATGTTTTTAAATCTACCTTATTAATGTTTTCAATTGATGCATCTAGACCAATTCATTTGAACATGATTATGTAACTTGTGGTGTCTTAGAGCTTAAGTCTGCATTTCACTTTGCTATGTGTGCTTTTCTCTGTTTGTCTCTTCCCTGCTTGATTTCCCCTGTTTCCAGGTGTGTTTCTTAACGTGTTTTTAGATTTCCTTTCAACTGCAGTGTGGTTGGGTGGATCTCTTTCATAGCATTTTGAAGGATTGTCCTGGATAACAAATCCTTTCTGTTTGAAGAACTTGCTCCAATCTTTCAGGATAAGTGTGATGGGGACACATTTTTACTCTTCCTTCATCTGAGAATGTCTTACTTCCCCATCAGTCCCGATGGATATTTCCACTGGATGGAGGATTCTGGACCCGGAAATCCACATTTTGAAATGTCTTTTCTTTAACATTTAAAAATGATTGTGCTGATTGTTTCTGGCTGCCACAGTGTCTGATGAGCAATGCAGCTGGGTTTGAATGATTTTCCCACATTGTTTTTCCTGTGCCACTTTTAAACTTTTTATTTGTATTCAGTTAGCAGATGTCTGATGACAAAGTGTCTTGGATTGGACTTTTTAATTTATTGCAATTTGAGTTTATCTACCTTTCTGAATATATAGATAGTATCATTTAGCAGATTTTGAAATGTCTCTGCCCAGCTTTTACTTTTATCTAGACCAGTGAAATGAACATTAGATGTTTAATTATGGTTCCAAATATCCAGGAGGCTCTATTAAACTTTTTCAGTCTGTTTTATTTCTATTGCTCACACTGGGTGGTGTATTTTGTTATACTTTGCAGCTCATTGATTTTACTCTCTGCTGTCTCCATTTGGTGGTGGAGACATTTTTTGAGTTTTAAAATTCTTGGCAATAGATTCTTCAGTCTTCATTTTCATTTTCATCTTTTTTCCTCTGTTACTTGACGGGAACATTTAAATTAATTTTTTGGCAGATATTTTAAAGAATTGTTTGAAACTGTCGGCAATTCATTAAACTATTGTTACTACCACTGCTTTTAACACTTTGGAACACAATTATAATTTCTGTGGTCTTCTACTGACCGACTTTTAAAATTGCACTTGGGATGAGCCTAACTCTTGGTGAGATGAGTGATTTAAACTGAAACTGGACATTATGGACACTGTGTTACGAGACTTTGCCTCTTATTGACACTTTGTTTTTTACCAAATGCTCTGACATTGTCCTGGCACGGGGAGACTGAGGTCCACTTCACTGCTCTCAGGGGCTTCCCAGTCCCAATCAGAACTCTCAAATTTCCCTCAGCAACAGCATGCACCTGGTATTTTATAAATCTTGAGGTGATTGTATCTACTTCAGTTTTCAAGATTTTTATGGGAATAAGCAGACATTTACGAGCACATATTTTATATTTTTATATATAATTAATGAATAATTATGTGTAAAATAATGCTTTATTCTTATTATTCATAGTAATCATTTTCTATTTCCAACAGTGCTGAATTAGCAGACACCAGTGATCTACAGGGACAATGTTCTCTAGATGTCCTTCGTACATCTTCTCTAATGGTGTCCTTTGTTCTGTCTCCTTGCCTTCATGGATTTGTATTGGTATCAAGAGACAGTTGAATGGGAAACATAAGTCAAGTATATTTCTACCACCTACATTTCTGCTCCTGTTGGTGTAGCAACCTCTCTCTGGGAGGGTAGCCTGAATCGTCAGCCTAGTGCCCTAGACTTAATTTTAGAAAAACAATGGGGAAATAATGGGCTAGTTACAGTGATAATCCATTGTCCCTTCTTCTGCTCGGCACTTCTCGCCCAGCACGTCATCCTGTACTAGTGCAGCACCAGGAACCTGGGGGCACAAGGACGGCAGGACAGCTGCTCAGGCTTCCAAGTGAACTCAGTTCCAAGAGCTCTGCAGGCCTAAGGACGTTTGTGCTCTGCTTTGTTTTCCTTGATTTCAAAAGGTGAGATTTCACTGGGATGTCTTTTTGATTTATTCAGGATATGATAAAGGCATTTCATTGAGGTAGAGACTTGAAAATGAGAAGCACATACTAAAATTCTCATTCAGACAATTTAAGAACATCTCCAATGTGAGTGTTTACTTACTCGTATTTCAGTTGCATAGAGCATTATCCATTGTGGTCAACGGCAGTGTGAAGGAGCAGGGACTAGAGCTCTGGGCACTGTGGGATGACTGTGAATGAGCTGTGGCCCTGGAGTGACCCCACTCAGCGACCTCCCCACTCAGCCCTGGTGTGACTAGAACATCTTGCCTAGAACATTCATTGCTTGTGATTTGAAGCAGTTGTCACACCCTGAGCTCATCTCTCACCCAAAAAGCAGAAACATTTGGCTTGGCTCAGTGAGACAGCAGAGTCAGAAATCTGAAATGAGCACTAGTTGCTCAAAATGCGAAGTCTCATATAAGATAATTCTATGATTTAAGGGCAGGAAGAATACATATGTTCTACTCAGGTAAACAATATAGGGGTCAGAATGAATCAGAAAAAACATGGTTGGAGGAAGGCATGCAGCCCATCCTACTGCTTAATGCCAAGCATCCTTTAACTTATGAGCTGAAGGTTCTAAAGATATAATACCTCTCAGGACTGACCAATTAACATGGGAAGACTCATCTCTTACACTGACCTACATCAGTTTATATGTCAAAATGGCCTGAGCTGATTCTCTAAAAGCCTATTAGAGTTGATTTGTGACTTGTACAATTCATTGCTGCAGGATGAGCACTACAAAAAAGAGTTCTACCTATAAATTTGTAGGCCAAAACATGAAAAAGAACACTTAGGATATAATAAAATAATTTTTGGAGCTGTGTGGAGTCCATTATCATAATGTTTGTGTTCATATGTGTGTGCATGCAGTTGTGCTCATGTTTATGTGTGTGTGTGTGTGTGAGAGTGTGTGTGTGTGTGTGTGTGTGTGTGTGTGTGTGTGTGTGTGTGGTGTTAGGATTGAATCATGTAGCAATACATGCTAGATAGGCAGTCAACTATTCTGCTTAACCCCATGGTACAGTTTGTTTATTACACTTATAACTTTCCTTCCTTGAATACTTAAGGACTTTTGTTACTTTGGAATACGCTCTAGATGGAAATGACCAATCATGGTAATATTATGAGAACAACATGGACAGTTTTATATATGACACAAAATTTTTTAAAAATAATAGCCAAACCCAAACACAATGCTGAGGAAATTTTACATATTTAATAAAATAATGCTCTATATTCTTTAGGCAGGAACCTCCAATATAGGTCAATGAGAAAGGACTGAAGAAATGGAAAAGCAGTGATGGTGGGAAAGAGAAACAGCACAGCTGTCCAGGAGTTCACCCTGGAGGGCTTCCCTGCAGTCCAGCACCTGGGGAAGGTCCTCTTCCTGCTGCACCTGCTGGCCTACCTGGCCTCTGTCACGGGGAACTCGCTCATCTTCACCATCATCTGGGCTGACCGCCGCCTCCACACCCCTATGTACTTCTTCCTCAGTGCTTTCTCGGTCTGTGAATGCGGTTTCACCACCACGGTTATTCCAAAACTCCTGAGCATCTTTCTGTCAGGGAGACAAACAATTTCCTTTGCTGCCTGCTTCACACAAGCATTTGCTTTCCTTTTTCTGGGTGCAACAACTTTTTTCCTGATGGGCGTGATGTCCCTGGATCGCTACCTGGCCATCTGCAAACCTCTGCACTACCCCACCATCATGAACACAAGGATGTGTGTCCTGCTGGTCACTGCCTGTTTCACTTTGGGATTTCTCCTTACCGTGATTCCAGTCATAAAGCTGTCCCAGCTGTCCTTCTGTGGCCCCAATGTCATTCCTCACTTCTTCTGTGATGTGGGACCCTTGTCAAGGCTCTCCTGTCCCGAAAACAGATCTATTGAAATGTTGTTCTACAATATTGCCTCTTTTCTCCTTTTTGCATCCTTCTTTATGACTGTGATCGCTTATAGCAACATAGTATTCACGATTCTGGGCCTCCGATCAGGCAAGGAGCGGCAGAAAGCCTTCTCCACCTGCTCCTCTCACCTCATTGTCCTCTCTCTGATGTATGGCAGCTGCGTCTTCATCTATGTGAAGCCAAAGCCAAGGAGCAGGCTGGACTCCAACCGACAGGCTGCTCTGGTGAACACGGTGGTGACCCCACTACTGAACCCCGTTATCTACACCTTGCGCAACAAGCAGGTGCACCAGGCACTGAGGTATGCTGTGTCCAGGGTGAAGCTGCAGAAATAGAAGCACAAACTTTTAATGAAGGAGTGCATTTTCCATTCCACTGAGTCCAACTGTTTCTATTTCTAATGTCATGTGCATAACTTTGAAAACATGTCAGTTTTTTAGATTCCATTAGAATAGTGGCTATGTACCCAATAATCCAATCTGAAAGCTCCAATAAATTTCTTCATATGGTGATGAAAATAACTTCCTCAATTGTTTCATCAATTCAAAAGTAATGAAATTGACCATGTGCAATGAAGAGTTTAATGTATATGTCTTTGTTTGATATGTTGATTTCCAAATCCAAAATACTGTGGTTAACATACGTGCTTGTGATGAGAGCATGGAGAGGAGAAAGACGTTTATGCACACTGAGAATAGCAGAGTGCTCCAAAGACAGATGTAATGTTTCAGCTTGCTTAATACTAAAGAGCATAAATGCATTCCTTAAAGTGATTAAATACAGTTGTTTTCAATGCTGTATATCTGATATACAACAACAAATTTTTAAAATTCTACTGCCCATTTTTGGGATGCATATGCCGTCTCCAGGTAAAAACGAAAGTCTCTGTTGCTTTATTGGTCTGCCATACTGCACAGAGACAGAGAGATGAAGGCGAAGGACCACAGGACAGGAAGGAGACTTATAAGAAGGAACTGAATATTTATAATAGTTTTTCTGCCACATGAAATTTAAAGGGATTGAGCTAAATCAAATCAGAAATGAAAAGAAAGATAACCGTGCCTGTAGAGCCTCTCCAAATGGATCTATGAGTGAGTCTCTATCTCAGTGGAGTGAGAGGCTTGGGTGTGATCCCTTCCAGGGGTCGTTTTCAGGCTGCTGTGGAATGACGTTCAGGATACTAACTGACAGAAACACAATGAGCACATTCTCAGTAGAAAGTAGTAATCTGTCTAACAGAAGAGTTCATTACACTTGAAGCTGTCATTTTGCTATTAAAGATTTAGATGGGAAATGAGGAATTTGAAGCAAAATCCTGGCACAAGCGCTTGTTTGACATGGGTGGTTGAAGGCATCTATATCGTTTGGTTTTACAACATTGTTCTGTGAGTGTGAGATTCTGGGGACAGTATTTGAAGAATAGTTGAGTCAACTAACATAATGTACATTTTTATATATGCTGAGTGTTTTTAAGGATATCCATAAAACATCCCATGAATTTGTTTCTTTTTCCTTACATTGAAGTATTTGTTTTGCTAGCATAAGTTCTCTGCTAGTGATTTATTCCAGAATGAGCAGTAAATTGAATTGTCATGGCTCCTTGGAGTTCTTTAAGTTTGAAATTTTAATATCTGTTATTGGAAACCTGCCTTCAAATAAATGGGTAAAATATACAATTTAAAAGAAATACATAATTTAAAAGTAATTGTTTCCATGTCATTAACACAACTTTTTCCACAATTTGATATACCTCAGATATACTACAATTTCCTTATCCAAGAATCATTTCATGGGCTTTTGAGCAGTTTCTATCTTTTGATATTGTTGACAGTACTGTTGTGTTTATGGATTTGATTGAATACTTATGTTATTTCTTTAGGGCTATGAAAGGCAATGTAATGGAGGAAGAGAGGAGAAAGCACTCAAAGGGCAAGAGATTCCTTTGTGGTGACCTTTGAGTAGTGTCCTATTTGACTATTGTGAATTTTACTGCTGTGAATATCTTTGTGCATGTTTTCCTGTGAGTATTTGGTTTAATGTATTCGTAGCTAAACTAGTTTTCATTTGTTTATAAGCTAGGACAGGAACTGTGATGGAGGGACTGGGGAGCACCTGACTGAAGGTTAAGTGGACTCATTTGAGGTGATAAAAATACTTTGGAACTAAATAGAGGTGACAAGTACACACATTTTGAATGTACTCCATTCCAATGAATTCTTTAATTTTAAAAGAATAATGTTGTAAGTGTACTTATCTCAAATAAAATTTTCATGTTCCATAAAGTTTTATATATTCTTGAATGTTTTACAATAAAAAAATAATAGTTAACCTCACCCAGGGCTACAGTGTGGGAGACAGCAGTCCTCATTTCTTAATTACCACAATCTATAAAAGTATAAAACAAAGAAATAAAAAGGGACTCAAACACAAAGTAGCTCTGGAAGAACTCAAGTGTTCATTTAAGAATTAGCATCAGTGCAGAGGAGCACAATCAGCTGGAGAATGTCTGCACAGAAGGACCGCTGGAGGATGTGGCATAGCTGAGCTGCCTGGAGATGGCTGAGAACAGTAACAGAAGTTGAGGCTTTGGTGTTAGCTGTGAGGCAGGAGACACCATATTCCTCTGGGAGCTGTCTGCTAGTGACACCAGCACCATTTGTCTCTGAGGGAACCTAAAATCATTTCTGATAGGGACCCCCAAGATAGAGATGTGCCTACAGACACCTGCCCTTCAGGAAGCAGCTGCTGTGCCCTACTCTGTGTCCCAGGCTTTCACTTCCTCCCAGAGTGTGCATCAACCTAAGATTCAAGCCTTGAGTCTCCAGGACTGCTCATATTGCAAACCTGTCTCTGAGAGTGCACTGATCCCTTAGACAACATCCCATACACTGGAGCCAGTGCATAGTGAAGTAACTTGACCCAGATACCAGAGCCAAGTTTTTTCTCTTGACAAGGTTCCCTTGTCAAGACCTCAACTCAACTCACACTGGAGCTACCCTCTATTCCGTACCTGGCTCCGAGGTTCCACTGCACAAGCACGCCTCCAAGGCTACACTCACTGCCCTCATGACCAAGCTCCTGCTGTGGTCCTGTTTGTGTGTGCCCATTCCGGGAGCATGAACTCTGCTGCCATGGACAGTCAGTCCCACCCTGAACTCAAAGCCACAGTAGCCAGTAAACACCCATGTTCCCATCTCAGAGTTCCTTACAGCTCCAAAAATTTGAATATCTTTGAAAACGGTATGAAAAAGCAAATATCCCGGGTACGGTTACCATAATAATCCCTTTCCCCCAAATATACTCACTCATGTATGTCCCTGCTTTAGCCCACAGCCTCCTGATGACTCCACGAGTTCAACACCTCAGACACCAGTGCCACTGCCACAGAGAAGGGGCTGAACACCACACTGAATGTCAAGAGTGTTTCCTGGACCACATGGAGATAAAAAGAGATTGAGGTATTGGAGAAAATTCAACAGATTGTGACAGCTATTGATTCTGAAGACATGACAGTGCTCTTCATGGTAGAGATTGACAGCGCAGGTTTCCACCATAGGATGCAAAGACTTTTCCCCATCCAAACCAGGCTCTAAGGTTAAAAGAGGTTAATGTTCTACTCAATGCACCATCAATGCAAAGCAGAAGAAACTCAAAATACCAAGAAGAAAGATCAGCACTTAAGAAAATATTCATTTCACTGCAGTTGACAAAAAAGGAATAGCCATGTAAAAATTATCTAAAAAACACGAAATTGTCATTGTACAAAGGCCACTTAACATTTAAAGAACATACCAAGAAACAATTCAGTAGTATTAGGAAAGAATTCAGTGACCCCAATTAGAAGTTTTATGGAGATTAAGTCATTAAAATTAAGTTTTATAGTTGATGAATACTATGAATTAAATAAAAATAGTAATGAAATGTGAAGAGAAAATTTTATGAAATTGAAGAGAGAATATGTGGACTCAAAGACAAAATGTTTAAAAACTTTCAAGAAAAGAAATCAGAAAATGTGGAGAAAGAAAACAGACAGCTTCTAAGTTTTATGACACAGCATCAAAATTGCTGCCATTGAACGTCTAAGAGTTAAGAAGCAGCAGGTGCTGTGCCACTCTGCGTCTTGGAACACGAGAGGGCCAGAAAGCCACTTAAAGAAAGAAATACCTGAAATTTCTGAATCTGAAGAAACATGTAAGTATCCACACAGAGGAAAGTCAAACATTCCCTCAAAAGATTAAATCAAAAGATTACAGAAAGATATAATCATATTGTCACAGTAGAAAAATGAATAGAATCTTGAACCAGGAAGAGAAAAGAAATATGCTGCATCTAGGAGATAAAATAAGGCTACCAAGAGATTTCTCAGCAGAAACCTTCCAATCAGGAAGAAGTAGGATGATGTGTTTAAAGGGCTACAGGTAAATATGGACACTGCCAAGCATGAAAAGTTTCAGGCTACACATAGTAGTCCAGGCCTGTAATCCCAACACTCAGGCAAACTGTGACAGACAACCAAACGAACAAACAAAAGCCCCGTGATTTTCAGGTTAGTATGGGTTCTAAAGAAAGACTTTTCCTAAAAACTAACAAGCAAACAAACAAAGTTATCTCAGTAGCTGTCCTTCAAAATGGAGGAGAGACATCAAAGCTGAGATAGTTCAGAACCACTAGAATGTATTATCTTGTAAGAACTGCTGAAGGAAGTTCTTCTGTCTGAAAGAAAAGGACACTAATTAGAAATATGAAAGTATATGAACAATGAACTTACTGTTGCACAGTAATTTTAGAATACTATTATGTGCTAATGCTGCTGTATATACCGCTTATATCTTTAATATGGAATTTAAATCTGAATTATGAAAGGTAATAACCACTATAATATGTGAAGATACAAGCCAAATAAATGATGAAAATCAGAATATAAAATTTGGTGGGGATGGAGTAAAAGTTGTCAACTTTTTTCTGTGATCAAAGTTAAGTTGTCTCAAGTTGCATCAATTCACCTATAATAGTCTTGTTCATCTGTTTCTATAGCTGAGTCATAGTCCATTATATTAAAAACAAATCTTTTTATGCACTCCATGGTGAATGTGTGTTTGGGTTGTTTCCAAGATTTAGCTATTAAAATTTGCAGTGCTATAAACATGAGTGACATAACTGTAATATGATGCTTTTGATACTTCTGGGAAGATACCCAGGAGGGCAATGACTGGGTCGAATGGGGCCTCCAATGCTAGATTTAGAGGAAGCTGCACACTGACTTCCTCAGTGGTTCCACCAAGCTACACTCCCTAAAAGAGTAAAGAAGGATTCCTTTACCTCCATAGCTGTAATGAGAAACCAGAAAAGGAAAGAAAGGAGAGGAAAAGAAAAGAAAAGAAGACAAAGAAAAGAAAAAATATATATTCAAGCATTTGGTATTGCTTGATTTCTTGATAGTAACCATTCTTTCCAGGTTGAGGTGGAAGCTCAATTTTGCTTTAGTTGCATGTCTTGAATGACCATTGATGTTGAACACTTCTTTTAGTGTTCATTTGACATTTGTAATTTTTCAACTGAGAAGTGTGTATTCATCTCAAATGCCCACATTTGGAATGGATATTTGAATTTTGGAGTCTGGGTTGTTTAAGTTCTTCACGTGTTCTAGATACAATCCCTTTGTTTGAGGGGCAACAGCCTATAATTTTTTTGAACTCTGTTGGCTGCCTTTTCACTTTGTTGGTGATTTTCTTTGTTTCACACAAACTCTTTAATATGGTGTGATCTCATTTGTAGATACTTTGTAGTATTTCCCGTACCGCCTGGGTTTCATTCATAAATCTCTGCTACACCTATGTCTTCTAGATTTCCACATACTTTGTCTTCCAGTATATTTAGTATTTCTGGTTTAATATTTGGATCTTTGATCCATTTTGACTTTAATGTCATGCTATACTCCCAGGTGAAATAAATCAGATCCACATGTGTAAACACTGTATTGTCTCAGTATGAGATACAGAAAGAGCCAAAAGGCACAATACATAATGTGAACAGGGACCAAACTGAAAGGAAAGAAAAACTGTAATGGGAAAAATGGAAAAGGAAGGAAAGGAAAAATGTGTGTGCATACACACACACACACACAAGATGCTTCAGATAGTTATGCAGATAGTTTTCTTAGTTCACTGTAAAGAAACTTTTGTGCTAATATTTTTTGGATAATAGATGATGCTTATATCTTGTATGCTGAACAATTACTATGTGTCTAACAATATCAATGTATTAATTACTATTACACACCTACTGTACTGTTTTGGAACTCTGCTTCATGTTTCTTTTACCTTTGTTTCTTTACAATAAAAAAAGTTAACTTGTTATTGGCTTAAAGGATCTATAGAAAAGATTGTGTAAGATTTAATATCATCAAAAGAACTATAAAAGTTTGACAAAACATTGAAAATGATGAACCAAAACAGAGCACTCTGGAAAATTACCTAATTAAAATGGAGCAAAGCACAGAAGGGAGGAAGGAAGAGAAGAAGGAAAAAAGGAAAGAAGGAAGGAAGGAAGATCTTCAAAATAACAGAAAGGATGGAAGTTGTAAGACTTTATTATAAATACTACCTAGAATGCAAATGGATTAAACTTTGTAATTAAAATGCAGACAGTAACTGGGTGAAAACAAGCACAAGTCCCAACTCTGTGTCACTTATGTGGGGTTCATTTAACCTTGAAAAGCAGACATAGGACAAATGTGAAGTGAAAGAAGAGCAGCCATAAGGACACATAAATAAAACAGACTTTAAATAATGTAAATTGAGAAAAAATCATCACATAATGCGGGTGAGTTGAATCAGCAAGGAATTGTTCCTATCATAAATAGATATGCTCTCAACACCAGAACACCTGAACATATAAAGCAAATGTTGACTGATTTAAAATAACACACTATACTATTATTCAGTCAGAAGATCAATAATGAAACATTGGGCTTGAACCACATGATGAAGCAAAGAGATCTAACACACATATAAAAAGCATTCCACCCAACAGTAGCCAAATACACATCATCACAGAAATGTTGTCCATGCCAGGTCACTATCCAAGTATTATAATTTTAGTAACATTGAATACCCATAAAGCATGCTTTCTGATTAGACTTGTGTGAGTCTAGAAATAATTGCACAACTGTGTGTAATATAATGAATGTTCTCCTGAGCCACAAGTGGGTGGACGAATAAACAAAAATTGAAATTTAGACAAATCTTGTGACAACTTAAAATGGAAACATAAGCTGCTGAAACTTGTGGAGCTCAGCAAAAGAAGGGCAGAGGGAATCTATCAGGGAAAAAGATGCTCATGGTTTGATTTGAGAAGTAGTTACATGGCTGTTTATTTGTGTAAAAAGCATCAACTTGTGTTTCAGAAACTTGTGCATTTTACAATGTGAAAATTATAATTCCATAAATAAAATGACAGGTTAAAAAGCAAAAGCATAGCTGCAACTCCCGCCATCTCTGCATATGACCTCACAGGACCCAGATGCTCCAGCCCGAGGTGCACACAGGGCTGGGCCAGAACAGGCCCCTCCCACATTTCACAGTACTAGCAACACACCTAAGGACCTAGGAACTCCAAACCATGCTCCCTCAGTCCCCCATCTGCCATCACAGATCCCCACACCTCCTAGACCTAGCATTGCTGTTGATCTTCAGCTCCAGCACCTCCCCAGAGAACCTTGAACTGCAGTACATTAACCATGCAGTATCGAGGGGAGACTCAGTAAAAAAAAATTCATCAGGCTTTCATCAGTGAGGTGAGTTTGCCCCTAAAAGAGAAATAGAGTGTGCCACCTCCAGTGGGCACAAGGAGCATTAGAGTAGCCCCCAATAGAAGTAGGCCATAGATGAGATTGGCAAGAGTGTGAGTGAGTCCTTGCTGCACAGAAAGTATATCAGGTAGGTTGGTGAGAGTGCCAACAAGGCCTCCCCCCATCGGGAGAAAATTAAGGGGACCTGAGACATAAGGGGGCACCCAGAGATGTAATAGGATCCCAGAGGAGACAAACACTATAAACAGGGAGATCTGAAAACTCTGAAAAACCTGAAGACATAATAACAGCAGGAACTAGGGGTTGATTTCCATCAATATTCATAGGTTCATAAGCCTAGAAAGAACATAGCATTCACCCAAAGGCCCTACAGGGGGAATTCAGGTGACTTTCTCTCTTCTTCACTGTGGGACCCAGCAATTGGCACATCAATCTTACAGTAGGACCCCAAGATACACACTAGCAACT